GATATTCTTTTTCTGTTTATTCCCCTGGTTGACTTGTTGAAGGGCCTTGTGGATTCTGCATATTAGACGTTGGTCAGATGCACAGTTTGGGAACGTGTTTCCCCATTCTGTACGCTGTCTGTTTACTCTATTGTAGTCTCTCTTGCTGTGCAGCAGCTCTTTCAGGTATTAAGTCTGATTTGTCAACTTTTGTTTTTGTTGCTGTTGCTCTTCAGGACTTAGCCATCTAAATGCTTTGCCAAAGCCTATGTGGAGAAGGATATTTCACAAGTGTTCTCATAAGATTTTAATAGTTTGAGTTTTTCCATTGAAATCTTTCATTCATGTTGAGTTCCTCTTTGTGTCTGGTGCAAGGTAGGGACCTAGTGTTTTTCTTTTGCACATAGCTAGCTGCTTATTTCAGCACCATTGATTGAATAGGGTGTCCTTCTCCCTTTGCTTACTTTTGTGGATTCTATGATAGATCAGATAGTTTTCAGTGTGTGGTTTTACTTCTTGGTCCTCTCTTGTGTTCCACTGCTCTGTGTGGAAGTGGGTCCCTGACTTTTCCATGAAAATTGAAATCAGGAAGTGTGATGTGTCCGATGTAGTCTGGATGTCTCAGGATTGCTGAGGATGAAACTCAGGGCACTTCATTGTCCTACATGAATATTAGCAGTGCATATTTCTATTTCTTTCAACAAATGCTTTGCATAGTAAAGGAACAATACAACAAGAGGATAGAGTGGGGCGTTATGGTCCATGCATACATTGTGGAATGATGAAATCAGGGTACTTAGAGTTCCTGCTACATTTTCCCATTGTTTATTCCTTTATGGTGAGAACCTTCAATATTCTCCTGTCAAGCTGCTTTGAAAGTGATGTGCCGATACTGTTAACCCTGGTCACCCTGCAGTGGAATAGAACAACAGAATTTTCTTCCTCTCACTTATGTGTAACTTTGTACCCATTTATGATCCCTGCCCATTACCCCTCTTTTCCCCCAGTCTCGGGAAACCAATATTGTGCTTGAAAGGTCTTTGAGATAGAGTTTCTCAGCTTCTGCATGTGTGAGATGACTCAAGGTTTGTTTCTCTCCCCCTCACTCATTTAATTTACCATCATGCCCTCCAGGTGCAACCGTGTGGTTCCCCACGATGTGATGTCATTGTGATTTTCTGTCTGAAGAGTATCCCAGTGTGTACATGTGGAGCAACTTCTTTCTCCCTTCATTTGTGGATAAGCAGGTAGGTTGATGCTTACACTGGCTCTTGGGAACAGTGCTGGAATCCACATGGGTGGGTAGATCTATCTTTGGTGTCCTGATTTCAATGACTTTGAGTGTATTCCTAGTAGTAGAATTGCTGGTTGAAATGATAGTTGGAGTCTTTTAAGGTTGGGAGGAACCTCCAAGTGGTTTCTGTAGCGTGTGTGCTAGTTTACCTTCTCACGAACTGTGGAGAAGAGTGTCTCTCTCTCTCTGGAAACACAACAGCATTTCCCTTTCTTTCAATGTTTTTTGTCTTCTTTTGTAACACTCATTCCAATTAGAATGAGATGGTGTCTAAGTGTGGTTTTGATTTACATTTTGCTTGTGGTTAGTGATGTTTGCCAGGTTATTGTGAACTTGTTTCAATTTGTTGTGTAAGACTGGGCAAAGGACCTGAAGACCTGAGATGGATGCACAGGTTAAAGATTCTGAATCAACATTACTGATCCTCACGAGAAGTCAATCAAAACCACACTGAGATAGCATCTGTCTCTGGTGAGAATGAATATTACCAAAATGGGACAGCAGTTTCATTGTTGTATAGTCTGTGTGTATAACCAGCGAGTGCAAGGCACAGTTTGATCAGTGTAAACGTAGCATCATCATGAAGTCGCAGTGTCTGGCATCTCTGTGAGCTCCAGACTTATGATTTCTCTGTGGAGAGAATATTCACAACTGACCTTTGTAGCTGTTTTGAAAATTGTGGTTTTCTGTTGTTGCCTTTTGGCATAATAGCCTACGGCTCTGTCCAGGTTTCTGGTAAGGGCATGGATTTGTTTTTTATGGCTATGTAGTGTTCAGTGCCATGTCTTTACTATTGTGAGTAGTACTTCCGTGAACATACGAGTGCATGCGTGTTTTCGATGGAAGGGTTTTCCTTTGGGTAGATACTTAGGAGTGGGGTTGCAGCACTGGGTGGTAGTTCTCTTTTAAGTTCTTTCAGAAATGTCCACACTGCTCTCCAGGATGTCTGAGCTAGTTTGCATTTCCCCCTACAGTGGACCTGCATCTTTTTGCTAGTCTGCTCCACCAGCCTCTGTTGTTGTGGACTGTGTGTCATAATTGCCATTCTGACTATTGTGCGACGTGGTATCGCAGTATGTTTTTGATGTGCATTTCTCTGATGATCAGTGAGATTGAGCATCTTTTCATTCTCATTAGTTACTGGTACACCTCCTTTTAAGTGTGTGTTCATGTCCCTTGCCCATTTATAATTTGGGTTTTTTTTTTTCTGATTTTATTTGTTGAAGGTCTTTACGATAAATCCTGGATATTAGATGTTTTTCACATGCGTAGTTGTGGAATATTTTCCCTCATTCTATAGGCTATGTGTTGACTCTGTTGGTTGTTTCTTGTTCTGTGCAGCTGCTTTTTTGTGTATTAGGTCCCGTTTATCAGTAATTGCTTTTGGGGAGTTGACATTTAAATGCTTTGCCAAAGCCTCTGTTGAGAATGGTATTTGCTAGATTCTCATGCAGGATTTTCTCATAGTTTCAGGCTTTGAATTTTTATGTATTTATCTATTTAGAGACTGAGTCTCGCTCTGTTGTACAGGCTGGAATGCAATGAAGCCATCTCGGCTCACTGTACCCTCCACCTTCCGGGTTGAAGTGATTCTCCTGCCTCAGTCTCCCGAGTAGCTGGGAGTACAGGCATGTGCCACCATTTACAGCTAAGTTTTGTTTTTTCAGTAGAGACAGGGTTTCACCATGTCAGCCAGGATGGTCTCGAACTCTCTGACCTCTAGTCATCTGCCCGCCTTGGCCTCCCAGAGTGCTTGGATTGCAGGCGTGAGCCACCGCTCCCGGCCTGGGGTTTGGCATTTCAATCTTTGATTCATTTTGAGTTGCTTTCTGTACATGGTGAGACACAGGGGCCTAGTGTTATTTCTTCTGCATCTAGCTAGCCACTTATCCCAGCACCACTTACTGATAGGCAGTCCTTTCTCCATTGCTTATTTTTGTTGATTTTTTTTTCAAATATCAGATGGTTTCAGGTGTGCAGGTTTATATCTGGGTCTTCTAATCCGTTCCACTGTTCTGTGGAACCGGGTCCCCAGCTTTTCCGTGAAAATGGCAAGGCATTACATTGTCTATGGTTGTTTTCTTAGAGTGTTTGCTTTGTTTTACTGTTTTTTAAATACCTTTAGCAACCTACTTGCATGGATTTGTTTTCTAAAATACGTGCACACTGTATGTTTTCTTGTAGGGGTTTTGTGGTTTCAGAATTCAGTTTTAGGTCTTTAATGTATTTTGCATTGATTTTTGTTTTGCATAACATAAGGGTCCTATTTCAGTGTTTTGTATGTGAATATTCAGTTTGCTGAAAATCATCTACTGAACAGGCGGTCTTTTGCCCATTGTGCCTTTTTGGTGTTCTTTTGAAAAATGTGTACATTTCACTATATGTACATTGGGGTTGAGTATTTGGTTTACTCATTCTGACCACTTCCTTAGTTTATGCCAATAAAAGCGTGTTTGGATAATTATAAGTTTGTGTTTTTCATTCATTGTTTTAGCTCCTAAGTTTGTATTTTTTAACATACTTTCTACATTTATTATAGACTAATATAGTTTATTATAGACTAAAAGGTACAAAGGCAGATTAGTTGCTGCCTTTGGTATATTGCCTGATACTGAGACTTGGGGTCCCAGAGAGCTTATCACGCAGGGAGTGTGGACCCACCAGGCAGGTCTATAGCCCATTCTCCATCCCTTCTTCCTTTGTTGTCTTATAGTCAGCAGTGTCTGTTGTTTTCACTTTTATGGTAGGGTGTATTCAATGTTAGCTCCACCTTAGAAGTGAGAACATGTGGCGTTTGGTGTTCTGTTTTTTCCTTATTTCTCTTTAGATAATGGTCTCCAGCTCCTTTCATGTTGCTGCCAAGGACATGATTTGCGTCTTTTTTTTTTTTTTTTAAAGCTGCCTAGTTTTTTGTGGTATATGTGTACCCCATTTTCCTTTTCTGATCCACTGTTGATGGATATCTAGGTTGATTTCACGTGTTTGCCATTGTAAAGAGTGCCGCCAAGACCGTTTGTGTGCATGTGTGTTTTGGACAGAAGGATTTATTTTCCTTTGTGTATACCCTAGTGGTGGGCTTGCTGTGTCAGATGGTAGTTCTGGTTTAAGTTCTTTGAGCAATCTTTGAAGTGCTTTCTATGGTGTCTGAAGTACTTTGCATTTTCACCAAAAGTGGACCAGTGTCCCCTTTCTCTGCTGCCTCGTCTGTGTCCTTTTTTTTTTTTAACTGTGTAATTGCCATTCTCACCAGTGTGAGATGACAGCTCATTGTGCTTTTGATTTATATTTCTCTGATAATTAGGTTTACCATGTTTTCACATTCGTTGCTTGCTTTTACATTATCTTTTGAGAAGTGTGTGTTTATATCCGGTGCCTATTTATGAGTTATTTGAGGGGTTTTGCTAATTGATTTCTGTAAGGTCTTTCAGGTAGATTCTGGATATTAGGCCTTGGTCAGGCGCATAGTTTGGGAACATTTTCTCTCATCCTGTATGTTGTCTGTCTACTCTGTTGGTAATTTCTTGTGTTGTGTGGTGGCTCTTTAGTGTATTAGATGTGGGAATCTCCTGGTCTCACATATACTTCAGCATTGTTTCTTTCTATGTGCTTAAAACCAATTTGCTCTATAGTAAAGATTTACAATTAAAGAGTAGAGTAGGACATTTTGATCCATGCATATGTACCTTGTGTAATGATGAAAGCAAGGCATTGACTGTCTCTATTACCTTGTGTAGTTATTATTTCTTAGTTCTCTGTGGTTGCAATATTCAGAATCCTTCTTTTCAGTCTTTTTTGAAAAATATGGTAGGATACTGTTAACTCTGGACACCTGCTGTGGAGTAGAACGGCTAAATTTATTCCTGTCATCTGAGTGTAACATTGTGTCCCCTTTGCAGTCCTTGCCAGGACTTCCCAACCCACAGCCTCTCTTCACCACTGTGGAACTTTCTACTTCTAGGGGATAAAGTCGTTTAGAGAGGAAGTTGATCTCATTCTC